CTCCTGCTGCCTTGTGCCTTCCAGCCGCCTCCCAACTGCCCGCCAGCTGCCAGACCGCCGTTCCGGCCACATCCACCACGGTTGCTGCCGCCGTTCGTGCTCCTGCAGCAACTAGCAACTCCCATTAGTCTCCTCCTCGTTTCCGGAGTTCCGTGCCGTCACCCCTGTCTCGTCCGGCTCCTTTACAAGCTTGCATATCCCCGCGTTTTCCAGAAACATGGTTGGTGTACCGGTCGTATCCAGAACCTCGGTGTCTGGACCACGGTCCCTGGCCACAAGAGATATGCAGCTTGTACGGACGCCATCACGGGCACCCATCTTTCCACCTTTGACGGCGACCCTATGTCCTGTCTCTTCACACTGCGCACAAAGTCCCCCCGATAGCTGCATGCACCCAGGTTGCTGCATCCTGCTCTTGTCGCTCCCTCACCCACCCAACCCTCCCGTGGCACCACCGCTAAGGTCACCCTGCTCTCCTACGTCTACGTCCCATGGTACACCAGGGTCTAGTCACTGGTCTCCCCGCGTCGCTTCCCGTCCTCCCCATCTCACTAGCCCCCGCGTCGAAGGCCGGCAGCGTGCCACCCCTCACTCCTCCTTATTTCCTCCCACTAGTGCTGCCCTACAGACTCTGCATATGGACGTCTAGGGCCCCGCCCCGGTCCAGGGGCCTCGCGCGGAGCGTTACTTTCTAGCAGCGGTCAACGACTCCACATAGTTTACCATGGTTATTCCGTTGGAGCGGAAGGCCGAAGTGCCTGACACCCTCCTCCTGTAGCTTTGTGTCGTCTGCACTCAGCGCTCCATGCCCGTGCTTCGTCTTCACTCCGACCGTGGTGGTGAGTTCGCCTCCGATCGCCTTGGTACGTTCTGTCGTACGGAGGGCATCACCCAGACGTTCACCCTTCCGAATTCGCCGCAGCATAATGGAGTAGCTGAGCGACATATCAGCCTGGTCATGGAGGTGGCCCGCACTTCCATGGTCCATGCCGGTGCAACCCATATTCGGTGGCCACTCGTGGTGCGCTACGTGGCTCACCAGCTTAACCTGAGGTCTCGCTCCTCGCAGCCGCGGGTTTCGCCGACCCTCCTCTAGTCTGGGTCTCCCGGTGACATTTCGGCATTCCACGTCTAGGGCTGCCTGGCTCACGTCCGCACCCCCGGTGCGGACAAGCTCTCAGCCCGGACTGTCCCATGTGTTTTCCTCAATTTCCCGTTTGACGTTCCTAACTGGCTGTTCTACCACCCGGGATAGCACCGCTTCTTTCGCTCTCGTGACATTACCTTCAACGAGTCTGTCTCCTTTTACACTCGCTTTCCTCACCGTGGCACTTGTGTTCCTCCTCCCCCTGTCTTCCTCGCCCCTCCTCCGCCTGCCGCTCCCCTCCCACCCCGTCCGGCCATGTTTGGTGTCTCTCACGCGAGTCCCCCTCCCCTCGGTCAGGCCTGTGAAAGAGTCTGCTGATTATGGAGGCCCCGTCAGTTGGGGGTGCGCCTGCCGCAGCTGCGGCGCCCCTCACCCCAGCCCCGGTGCCCAAGGCACCTCATCATTTCCTCACCCCCCCCCCCCCCCCCCCCCCCCCCCCCCCTCTCTGCCGCCGCAGCAGCAACAGCAGTAGCAGTAGCAGCACCACCACCACCACCACCACCAGCCGCAACAGCAGCAGCAGCGGGGGACTGTGGACTCTGGGGGTGCTGGTTTGGGGGGTGCTGGTCCTGGGGGTGCAGGTTCGGGGGGTGCTGTTTCTGGGGTTGCTGGGTCTGGGGGTGCTAGTCCTTGGGGTGCTGGCTCGGAGAGTCCTAGCGGTAGCAGTAGTGGAGCTGGGGGTTCTGCGTGGGCCCGAAGCAGCAGAAGCAGCAGCCGGCGCAGCGGCTGCAGCCGCTATCTGCTCGTCCGTCTTCTTGGCCTCCAGTCCCCGTCCTACCGCTCCCTCCCCAGACATCCCTATCCCTGTCTTCTGCTCCTCCCCCTGACTCTGCTCACACTGCTCGTCTAGCCGTCTCCCGGTTGCTTGTCACTGACCTACCGCTCCTCCTGAGGGTGTCACTGCCCTCGTCGCTGCTGTCGCAGACTTTGCCGCGAGCCGCTGCCTTGTCTATGCCTCTGCTCTGGTCTCTGATTTTACCTGCCCTCCGTCCGTCGATGATGCACCTCCCCTTAGCAGTGACGTTCTAGAGGATAGACTACGAGCTAGCTCTTCTTGCGGCTATTGTACCTCATCTCCCCTGTGGGTGATCCAGTTGCCTTGGACATGCCTGCCCCATGCTCGTACGCTGACGCGATCTCGGGTGCCTGGGCAGCCTAGTGGATATAAGCCATGGAGATAGATATGGCATCTTATAGATCCACTAACACTTATGTTGACGCAGTTCCTCCACATGGAGTGAACATTGTCCTTCGCTCCAGGGATCAAGTGGAGCCTACGCCGCCCTATCTATGATGTGCGCCAAGCGCCCTGTTTGTGGCACGACACGCTTTGCACTACACTCACGTCTCTCCACTATCTTCCGTCCTCTCCTAACCCCCCCGCTCTTTGTACGTAGATAACCTTATATTTGCTACTCCAGACAAAGTCGCACTGGCCTCAGTGAAGGCCGAGCTGCTCACGCAACATGCTTGTACAAACCTGGGAGAGCAGTGGCGCTATCTAGGTTTGGAGATCTCTCGTAACCGTGAAGCACACACGATCACACTCTCCCAGTCCCATATGGTGGAGCAGATCCTCCAGTGGTTCAGCTTTCAATTCTCGTCAGCATAGCCCATCCCTCTACCTATGGATCACAACCCCTCATTTCTTGTTTCCGGTGAGCAGGTCGAGCCTAGTGGTCCATATGTTGAGCTGGTGGGGTGCCTCATGTACTTGATGACGTGCACTCGCCCAGATCTAGCATACCCTCTCACTATCCTTGCTCGCTTCGTTGCGACTGGCAGACACGGACCAGAGCACTGGTCAGTTGGCAAGCGGGTGCTGCGGTATCTGGCGAGTACATCGGAACTGGGGCTTGTGCTGGGAGGTCGACAGCCAGTGGTTCTCACTGAACACACAGACGCGTCGTGGTCTGATGACTTGAAGACACTTAGGTCCTCACAGGGCTACTTCTTTAGTCTTGGTACGCGTGCAGTCTCCTGGCGGTCCACTATGTCGTCGTCTACAGCTCAGTCCAGCTGTGAGGCAGAGATCTATGCTGGGGCCAAGGCCGCTCAGGAGCTCCGCTGGCTGACGTTCTTGGTCACCGAGTTAAGTGAGCGGCCTAGGTCTGCCCCGGTCCCGTTTTCTGATAACAGGGTCATGACCCTCCTTTGTCAGGAGGCTCGACTTGAGGGTAGGGCCAAGCACATCCAGATGCGGTACTTCCTGCTGCGTGAGTTGCAGCAGCACGGCTTGTGTAGTACCGTTGGCCTCAGAGGCCAACATTGCTTATATCTTCACCAAGGCTCTAGGGCCTCGTGACCATCAGCGGTTCTGTACTCAGCTTGGTCTTGTCACAGTTGGCTCTCCCTCGTTTGTATCCTGATCTCTGCTATACCAGCTTTGTAATTGCTACTCTATACCAGATGTGTTATTACACTTGCTGACTAACCTTTGTGGGCCTTGTCTTAGTGGTTAGACTAGTAGCTCTGCCCTGAGTTGTTTTGGTACATACTCCAGAGGCCAGACTAGTAGTGCTGCCTTGGATTACTGTTTCATATTAGGCTCTGCCCCCTACCCAGGCTAGGGGTGTTAAAGTAAGCTAGGATCTAGGTAGGAGGGAAGCCATAGAAATGGCGAGCGGTTTTAGGCTAGGAAAGTTGAGGAGAGAAAAGAGAGTCGAGAATAGAAGAGAGAGGCATACAGGGTGGGGGGTTGTACCCTCTACAGTAGGTTTCCGTAACACCTACCAAGCCTACCAATTATATAATAAAATATATAATTTAACACACCTTCTAGGCTTGGTAGTAGAAGAACCCACACACACCCACACCCCCCATGCCCAGCAGTAGCCGCGATGACTCCGGAATTGGTCAACACCCACGGGCCGGGAGATGGCAATGGCGGCAGCCGCGGCAGTGACGAGAGCGACGGCGGCGGCGGCGTGCGGCGGCAACAGGCCAGCGGCAACAGCAGCGGCGGCGGCGTGCGGCGGCAACAGGCCAGCGGCAACAGCAGCGGCGGCGGCGGCTTCAACGTCATAGGCGAGTGCAGCGGCCCCCGCCCTCTCGGCGGCATGGCCAATCTCATCTGCTGTGGAGAAGGCCCTCACGAGGCAGTCGACGGCTGTGGCAAAGAAGAGGGGACGCAGGGGAAGGAGGGGGTGGGGGGGGGGGGTGGTCCAGAATCACACCGCAGCATTACGATGCCGCCACAGCGCGGCGTCGATGCCACGGCGGGACGTCGTTGCTGCGACGGCAGCACGACGACGTCGTCACGCCGCCACGGCTGGACGTCGACGCCACGACAGCGCGACGCCATGGCAGCGCGTCGAGACGGCCGCAGCACGACGATGCCGCCACAGCAGCACGACACAGCCGCCATGGCAGCGCGAGAGGAAGAGGAGGAGTGCGTGGCGGAAGCGTAGAGAGCAGGCCCGGGAAGGGCGACCTGCTCTGATACCATGTTAAAGTAAGCTAGGATCTAGGTAGGAGGGAAGCCATAGAAATGGCGAGAGGTTTTAGGCTAGGAAAGTTGAGGAGAGAAATGAGAGTCGAGAATAGAAGAGAGGCATACAAGGAGGGGAGTTGCGCCCTTTACAGTAGGTTCCAGTAACACTTACCAAGCCTTCCAATTATATAACAAAATATATAATTTAACAAGGGGGAGTTTATATTCATGTGTTATTTGAACTGTAGCCTAGCTAGGCTTCATATTGTGTTGAGTACAACACTAGATGTACTCTTTGTACTTTTCCCTAGTCCAACTTTTCTCCTCACGACAGGTTCCACTGGTAGTTTCTTGCCTCCTCATGAAGTAATTACAAGGCACTTTTGAAGCCCCCCATGTGCTAATTTTAAACACTGAATCAACACCCCCTGATTCTGCCCTTAGCCGGAAATTTTTCTTGGGTGTTTATGATAGTATACATGTATCTTGGGATGTTAGAATGGGGCTGAATTTCTGAGTGTTGGGCATACTCACCTGGTCAACCCTCCTCAGGGCGTACTTATTTCCAGGGATGCTCTAGCCAGACAGAGCTTTACGATAACTGAACCTGGGACTGGTATTGTGCCAACCGTGTTTACATTTCCTTGGCAGATATCTCCTCAAGAAACTTGGAGACGAGCTCATAGACAAAGAAGGTGATGGCAGCAGACGGGGCGGCTTTGATGACCGAAGGCAATGCGCCTTTGTACAGGCCCTCTACACCCTCCGTGGCCACGATCTTGCGTATCGCATCTATCATGCCCCTGTACGCCCTCGGCTGGATGCGGGCTCCGTAGCGAGGGTGGCGCAGCAACCCCTCCACCTGCCCGCACAAGACAACCATTTCGGTCAGAGCAGGTTTCGAGGTGAGGGGCACGACAAAGAAATGTCCATGAAAGCAAGTCGCAAGAGTGGGCTCAGGTATGAGATGTCTTTGAGTGGCACGGAATGCCAATGGCATGGAGCATGGAGTGGCATGCTATGACAGCAGCACATGACATGGCGGGCGGCTCACTTGGAACCTCTTCTTGACGACATCGAGGGGGTGGCATGCCACCTTGGCGAGGGTGCCAGCAGCCAGGCCGCACAGGAACTGCTGCCATGGGGTCAGGTGGCCTGGGGAGGGGGTAGAGCTCACCCGCCGCTCAACGGCAGCAGGCAACACTGGTGATGCTGCTGACGATGATGGTGATGGTGATGGTGGTTGAGATAGCGATGGTGCTGTGGAGGGTGGGGATGGAGATGGAGGGTGAGTGGAGTGGGCGAGAGACACTGGCAGGTCGTGGTAAGCCTTGGAGCGTGACCAGTTGTAGTGCTGCACGGGGGAGAGAGGTGAGGGCAGGGAGGCAAACAGCAAGGGAGCATGAATGCGGGCTGGCATGACAGTCGTTACGCCAGGAGCGTGAGGCGTGCAAAACGATGTGGAGAGGTGGGAGTGGGGATGAAGTACGGGGAGCAGCAAGGAGTGGGAGACTCAGAAGAAGACACGAGGAGGTGGCATGGGAGAGAGCACGTAGACTGGTGTGAGGTCCACACGGAGGTGCAGGGAGGAAGCAGGGAGAGGTTGAGGGAGGGAGAAACAAAGGAAGAGAGCACGGAGTATGACGGACAACACGCAGTCAGGGGTGTGACGAGCAGCAAGTCGTGAGGAACACCTGAGGTCCTCAGAGGAGCAACAAGCATTGGCTGTGGCCAACACAACTATGACAATGTGAGCTTACACCCCTCAACGCCTTGACTGAGACTCAGCAGCACCGCCCCCCATCTCACGCTCTCCAGGGAACAGAGGGGGACACTCATGCTGGTGGTGCCGAGAGAGCATTCGGGGGGGAGGGGACTGAAGGCAGCACGCACAGCGAGTTGGCGCTTGAAGCCGTCGTAGAGGCCGAACTGCAGCCCCGCATAGGGGATGATCTCCACGATGGTGGGCGCCAGCCCCGCAAACAGCCCCCGCACCCCGCGCTCCCTCACTATGCCCGCGCACGCCGCCCTCATGCCTGAATACACCTGCGCGTGTGCGGGTGCTCAAAGGGGGTGGGGGGGGGGAGTGGGGGAAGGGGGGGAGGATGACAGCTACCGTGAAACGAGCATGAGAGAAAAAAATCCCTCGGAGGTAGTCGTGAAGCTGCTAGGAATCACGACAATGTCGAAGCCACAAACCTAGTGCACTCGCATTTCACTCTCCTTGCCCTCGCTCGCACCTTGGGCTCCCCTTGAGACGCCAGCACAGTTCTGAGCAGGTCGAAGGGGTACGACCCCACCGTGGCTGCGATCCCCGCCACCGACCCGCCCACGAACGACAGCTCGGGCCGCAGCTGCTTGTGGTCCTCTGGCAGACACAGGGGAGGGGCGCGGAGGGGGTGGGAGGGAAGCGTGCGAGGCGCGTGGGTGGGTGGTGCGAGTGGTTTCTGGGGAATAGAGGTATGAGGAGTACTGAAAGGAGCCTCACAACTGGCAAATCTTGCTGCAGCTGCTTGAGTCGCCAAGAGGAGAGGAAATGAGGGCGAGGTTGAGTGCAGGGCCACGAGTAGCTGATGATGGCAGAGAGCGGAGGATCGCAGGGCTTTCATGGGCTGGACTGGGCAGGCAGTGCAGGGCAGAGCAGGGGAAGGCAGGGGTAGTGCTGGGACGGAGGGTGCTGCAGGCTTGGGAAGGGAAAGCAGGAGGACAAGGGGAGCTCGGGTGTGACAGCAGGTGTTGCGGCAGAAGCAGGTGAGTGGGGGAGTGGAATACAAGGGCGCATGGTGGTTGCCTCAAATCCAACCCGTCCCACCTCACCCTCACCCTCGCTGCACTTCGCCTCACCCTCACCCTCGCTGCACTTCGCCTCACCCTCACCGCACTTGGCTTCACTTGACTGCCCTGTCTGGCGGCAGCCTGCACTGTGAGCTGACCTGCCTGCCTCCTCTTCCCCTCTCACCTGTGCGGTGCGAGCCAGTCATGAGCGATTTAAAGCGGTGGATGACGACGAACTGGATGGCGGTGTAGGGCATGACCAGCAGCAGCCCCGGCACCGTGCCCCGCCAGAAACCCTGCGAGCGACCCACAAACGGGGGCAGGCGGGAGGGGGGCAAGGGGGTGAAGGAAGCAGGTCGTGACGCGTAGGGAGGGGTTGGGAGATCGCATGGGACAGCAGGGCGTGCACGGCCAGCTGCCTCCAAGTGGCAATCGACTTGACTTATACTTCCATACTTTAGCTCTTTGCACCCCATCCGCCAAGCAGCGCCCTCTCCTGGCGATGCCAGATTCCATATCTTTCTTTTATGCCAGGAAATATCAGCAATGCCGCCCCCCGCCCCCCATGCCCCATTTCCTCCCCCCCCCCGCAACCTCTCTCGTTCCCCCCCCCCATCCATCCCCCCCCCTTTCCCGCCCTTACCCAACCCCCCATCCCACCACATCCCGGACCTCCTTCGCTCCCCTCTTCCTTCCCTTCCTTCCAAATCCTCCCCCCCCCTCCTCCACTCTCCCACGCTTATACCTCTCCCATTCGCCCGCTGCTTCATTCTCTGCCCCATCGCATTCCCTCCTACCATCCCCGTCCGCAACAACCTAGCAGCCAATACCCAAAACCTCAGCCTCAACCCTTCACCTCGTGCAGCCCCCCCACAGTACCGCTCCTCGTCGCAGCCCTTCTCCCTCCCTCTCTCCCTCCCTCCCCCCACCCCCCTCCTCTGCCCACCTGCACGCCCTCCTCCCTTAGTATCTCCCGCGCGGCCTGCACCAGCCCCGTGTATTTCGACTTCGACGCCCGCGCTGCGCCCGCTGCCGCCATCGCGGCCGCGCGCCCAGCGCCTGCGAGCGACGCTGCGGGGCCGGCGGCATGGGGCGTGTGGATGGGCTCCAGCTGCACCTGCGGGGATCGCAGCAGGCGGGGGCGAGGGTGGGGTGCGTGTTCGGGGGGCCGTGGGTGCGGGAACCGGGTGAGCTGGGTGGAAGGGCGTGGGCAGAAGCGCCAGCGGTTCAGACCCGCTTGGGTGATGCGAGCAGGAATACACGACGACGCGGGTTGAGCTAGAGGACGCTCTAGCGGATCACGCAGCTTCCGTCGAAAGGGGTCGTGGGGCGACACGCTGAGAAGAACGGCGCCGGGACGAATGGAAGCAGCTGCTGAGCGTCGAACGACGCCAGAGCGAGACGAATGGCGCGAGGGTGGGGCGAAGGGGTGGAGCGTGGCACCTGGAATCGGATCTTGATGACGTCCAGCGGCGACACCACCACGCGCGCCACTCCGCCCGACACGGCGCCGGCGACGGCATCGAGCACCGGGCGAGGCAGCAGCTGCCTCCGCCGCGCTCGCGGGGCCGCGGATGACGAGGACGGCGATGCGGGGGATTCGGGCTCGCGAAACACAGTCATGGCTGCGACTGAGGCGGGAGAAGCTGCGGGAGTCGTGTGATGCGATCACGCTGAAATGCTCAACCTATGCCTACGTGCATGGCGTAAGACGACCCGGGTACGCAAGTGTGCCAGCCTAACGAGCATGAGTCCTAACTTATACTTTGTGTCATAACCTGCCAGATATTTATGCCCGTGTGTGCAAGCAAGCCGAAATATCTGTAGTGTCTGTTGGATATGGATTGGGTGTGTCGGCGGCAGTCCAAGCTTTCTGCGACCTATCAGATCAGTTTCCACTCTTGCCTTCGTTTCGCCGAGCTGATCAGAGGTAAAACTGCATCAATGCTTTCGCAATTCGTCTCCGCGAAAGTGGTTATGGATTTTCACAAGGTTTCGCCCACGCTCACCACGATCGATTCATTCTGCGACAGTCGTCCGTTTTCGCGTACGGCTGGGGCAGCTTTATTCACACACGTTTTGCGAAGATCTATGGTAACCAGGAAACTGGCAACCACAATTGGACAGCCCTTGGGAGTTGAAAGAGAAATTATACGCTGGGTAACTTTTACTTTTCGTTTCCCCGGTTTAATCACTCTTTTCTCATCCCAGTCAACGTTTCATCGAATCGAAATCAGCAGCGTCAAAATTTTTGTTCAGTTTGATGCCGCAAAACAAACTCTTTCAACACGTGTCCGAAAATGGCGAAATCCCAGAGAATAGGGAGACTACTTGTAGTGACAAACAAATAGAAAATATATCTGAAGAAAACATTCGATTTCACTCACATTCAAATTTCGCAGTAGATTATATTCGTGAAGACTGACTTGGCCAAGTGTTGTCTTCTTGTGGCTAGAAACAGTGAGCAGACGAAGCGCACGCAAATTGCGCAACTGAACGTATGCGAATTTACTGGTTGTTACAAAAATCCCCGAATGGAAAAACATTGTTTTCGTTGCTGAAATCTAACAAGCCATTCTTCAAGGTGTAAACTAGACTTATGTCACTATTTCTGACGTTTTGTTTTTCGGGATGCCCACAAAACTCAAACCCATCGGAGCCTGCACGCGACTCGCGGTGGCATCAATTCTAAACTCGCGGCTTTGTTCGTCTTTAGTGTTGATGCCACCCCAAGTTGAATATCGGGCCGCTGAGGGTTTTATTTTGCTTCAGGCTGCCCTAATTGACATGTCCGTATATATAGGGGCTGCTGCGGGTTCTATTTTGTTTCAGGCTGCCCTAATCAACATGTCTGCATCTAAATAACGCGTCGCGGAGCTGTGCGCAAATGTTTACCGAGACAGAATCCTCTACTAGCTATGCATTCTTCTCTTCAAAATTTGGACGTTTTGAGACTATCGCATTTCTGGGACACGTGTCAAAATATTTTGCCATGCGGCATCAAACTGAACAAAACGTTTGACGCTGCTGATTTCGACTCGATAAAACGTTGACTGAGGTGGGAGAAGAGTGACGAAATCGGGAAAATGAAGAGTAAGAGTTACCCAGCGTATAATTTCCCTAGTTGAAATTCAAATTTGGGAGTTTCGAAGTTGCCAGCACTCTCGCCAAGCATCCCCCTTCAATGCCAGCCAGGGATTCAGAAGCCGGTCCTCACCTGCTTGTCTTGCTAACCCATTCACAGCAGAAACTCCCTCTGGTGACCATGGCAAACGTCACCGTATGCGTTAGGTTCAGGCCCCAGGTCAGTAATCGCAAATGGGTCCGTTTGACATGCCGCCTGTTCAGGCAACTAATGCGGTTGTGGGGATGTGAGCAGAACAAGATTGAGCTTCAGGAAGGCGGGTTGATCTGCGTGGAGAAGAACTGCGACCAGTCCTTCTACCTCAAGGCACGACGCTGACGTCGTAGTTTGCTCGTTCGCCTCTTCTCACGGCAAGCGCCTAAGGTCATTGTGTTGCAGGATGAGAAGGACGAGAAGACGCTTTTCATGTTCGACAGGACCTTCTTCCAAGACTCGACCCAGCAGGAAGTCTTTAGCTACGTCGCGCTGCCCGTCGTGCAAGGTGTGAATCTCTACGATCCCATTTATCCCGAAATCTCTGCTTTCCGCATCAGGATTTCATGCCGCGTGGTGATGCGCAGATGCTATGTCGGCGATCAACGGCACGGTGCTCGCCTATGGTCAGGTATGATCGGATCAGCTTCGCGATGAACGATTCGTCGTGCTAACCGCCATCACTTATTGCAGACTGGTGCAGGCAAGACACACACAATGGAGGTGAGCACAACTTGCGTCTCCGCATCACTCTGATGCCCACGGCGAGTCTGAAGGTAATCTTTTGTTATGCAGGGACCGAATATGCTCATTGACGATCCCGAGAGTTCGGGGATCCTCCCACGTGTCGCAAAGGAGATCTTCGTCAAAATAAATGCGACTGAGGCCCCCAACGAGTACAAAGTCGCGTTATCTGTGGTAAAGTTTTAGAACAATTGTCGATTTTGGACTCAGACCCTGACCTAAGCTAACAGGCCGTTTGGACAGGTTGAGATTTACATGGAGCGAATCAGGTAATCCAATCGCACTTTCTCTGGGCCTTACGGACCTATTTATACCTCTTACAAGATTATGCCGTGAACACATCTGTGTCGGGATAGCATCCCTCATGGACCGCCATCCTAGCAGGGACCTGTACGATGTGTCCAAGGACAACCTCGTGGTGAAAGAGGATCAGACGCGAGGGATATCCATCGCTGGTGTCACTGAGGTGTGCATTCTGGGCACTTTCGTTGCTTTTCTTGGCGGTGCAATGGCTTCCATCCCATGTTTTATGCATCTGCTCGCTTTTATGTAGATATATGTTGAAGGGGAGAAGGAGATGCTTCAGCTTCTTGAGGTGGGTTGGGTTGTCACTTGTGTTTCTGTCCTCCGTCAGACTGCTGAATATGTAATTCATTTCTTTATTCAGGCTGCAATCAAGAACCGAGCTGTTGGGGCTACCAGTAAGTGCTTTGCAGGTGCATGGGGCCTGTTAAATTTTGTCCTGTTCGGAAAGCGCTTTTTTCCTCACACGAAATTTTGCCGCAGACATGAACCAGGGAAGTAGCCGCAGTCACTGCATGTTCCTACTGACGATTCAGCGGACCTCTGCCGATGGCAGCAGGTGTGGCAGTGAGGCAGTTTTCGCATTTCTGCTGCCCATTCGTTGTGCTCATTCGAGAATCTCCTTGGCAGCTCGCAAGCAGGGAAGATATACCTCGTGGATCTGGCTGGTTCTGAGAAAGTGGACAAGACTGGGGCGGAAGGGAGGCTGCTTGATGAGGCCAAGATGATCAACAAGTCGCTCTCAGCACTGGGGAATGTCATCAATGCGCTCACGTCTGGTGTGGATCCAATTCTGCTTCTCAAATATCCTGTTTAATGTGGCAGAATTGTGGATGCCCGTGTCTGAGATTGAGAATGACTGCAGATAAGGTTACGCATATTCCATACCGCGACTCCAAGCTTACTCGTATACTGCAAGAGTCACTGGTGAGGCTACTGAATTTGAGACTTTCTTGAGTGAGGGAGACAGTTCGATTGGAATGGCTACTCTGTTTGTGAATGCAGGGTGGAAATTCACGCACAACTCTCCTATGTTGCTGCTCCCCGTCCACTTACAACTATACCGAATCAGTGTCCACTGTTCGCTTCGGTTTGAGGTAGCAGTTTCCACACTTTCTGCCACTTGCTTGTGCTTGCTGGCTTGCCTGACTTGCACTCCGTGGCAGAGCAAAGCAAATCAAGAACAAGCCTGTTGCCAACAGAGAGGTGGGGCGGGGGGAGCTTCAGCGGCGCTTGCAGGAGTCAGAGATGGAGTGCGAGTTCCTCAGGCAGCACATCCAGACCTTGACTCTGGCCATTCAAAGGCTCCCTGGCGGAGGTAATGCTGTCAATGGGGCTTGCAGCGTGGGGAGAAGCATCAGCTCTTGTGTCTTGCTAATCCTTGCTGTGTTCATGCAGATGAGGTCTTGAAGGGTGTTGGCGATCCAATCAGCGAAAGAACTTCTGGATCCAGGAACAGCCTCATGGTGAGATACGTTCTGAATATTCCTTGTTGGATGCCTCTGCATGTGCCTTGAAAGTTCTTTTAAATCTGTGCAGGGAAGCCATATGCTAGCTGCCTGCATTGATGGCTTGCATGGCATTTTGGCCAGTGAGGGCATGGCGTGGGCGTCTGAGCTACCCACCATTGAAGACGCGAATGACATTCCGAAGCTCCTGACTGGTGCGGTTGAGAAGCACCTTTCAACCCAGTCCAGTGAGGGCGATGAAGACAAGGACCTGAAGTACCTTGAAGAGGCTCTAAATGACATAGCTGGCCGAATCAAGAAGGTGGGGACTGGTTTCATGCGACTGTTTGTCACCCCTTGACTGCTGGTGTCATTCTCATTTGCACATTTGTGTTGGCAGCTGGAGAACAAGATTGGACGATAGCACCGCCTGTCACCACCATCCGCAGCAGTGGAGTCCCGTCCTGTGCTAGCACATGCTGCATGCAGATTTGGTACAGGCAATTAAGATCACACACCACCAGGGCCTCAGATTGCAGGCTTTTTACCCTGATTCAGGGTAAAATCAGGGCTTTTTTGGGGGGTGACCCTGATGAGACAGGATTTTTTTAAGACAGAGGCCTGAAATTTCAGAGTTTTTTTAAGAGTGAACTCTGATCGATCAGCGTGCGTAGTGTAGTGTGGCCTGTTTTTCCAGCGTCGTATCGAAGCCCGACCCTGATTCTTGTAATAGCGGATTCCCAGCCCCAATTCCCCCACCCCGTGATTTCCGCGAATACCCCCCCACCGTCCCTGTCAATGACGCCGACTCGAGTGTGACCGACCAGATTCCAGCCCCGCTGGAGAATATTCTGCCAAATTTCCTCCAGCACATAGTGCTCGGCGGGGTCTAATTGGCTGTTCGAAAGTTGTCAGCCACTGCTGTCTTCAGCAGAGCATGGCTGCAGGGGTTGGATTGGCTCATTGCCAAATTTCAGCCACAGCAGCCAATAGACCAGGTACAATGTTAGACAGTTGGCCCACCAGCACGGCAGTAGACCGCTACCCACCCGCTTCGTGAACCACATGCATGCATGCAGAAGGCTGTTGCGAGCCGCGTGCCCTCCAGAAACCTGAAGAGACCCCATCCTCTTCATCGATGTCTTCAATCGATGCTGTGCTGCCACACCTGCTGCCTCGTTCAAGTCGGGTGCTTCCACCCTCGTCATTCCATTTCTCCTCCACGGTTGTGACTGGTTTCTTTACCGTTGCCATCGCGCGATGGCAGCACCTAGCGACGGTGATCCAGAAGGCGATGACGGTGGTAGCATTCCTCGTGCAGACCTGTGCACGGGGCTCGACTTGCTCCTCTCGACACTGTCTAGCCTTACCCGCATCCCGATTAGAGCCGATGCTGCGCCTAGAGTGTCAAACATGTGTAGTTATCATGTTTGTATAGACTGTATAGGGTCACCTTCTAGAGAGTACAACATTTAGGTATATGTTTGTGTACTCTCTCTCTCTAATCATTCAATTCTCTTTCTAATATGGTATCACGCGTAGGTAGGATCCCCCCCCCCCCCCCTAACGCTTCCGCTCGCCCCCTAGCTGGGCCCCGTCGTGCTCCTAGCCCTGTCGCGACCCTCCCTAGACCCGTCGCGCCCCTATCCTAGACCCGTCGCGCCCCTCCCTGGGCCCCGTCGCGCCCCTCCCTGGGCCCCCCCCCCCCCCCCCCGTAGCGCCCCTCCTGGGCCCCCGTCGTGCTCCTAGCCCCGTCGCGACCGTCCCTAGGCCCGTCGCGCCCCTCCTGGGCCCCCCATTGCGCCCCTCCTGGGCCTCGCCGCGCCCCTCCTGGGCCCCCCATTGCGCCCCTCCTGGGCCCATAGCGCCCCTCCTGGGCCTGTTGCGCCCCTCCTGGGCCCTGCCGCGCTCCTCCCTGGGCCCCGTAGCCACCCTCCTGGGCCCCGTCGCGCCCCTCCTGGGCCCCTTCGCGCCCCTCCAGGGCCCCTGTCGTGCCCCTCCTGGGCCCCGTCGAGCCCCTCCTGGGCCCCGTCGCCCCTGCTCGGCCCCGTCGCCCCTGCTCGGCCCCGTCGCCCCTGCTCGGCCCCGTCGCCCCAGCTCGGCCCTGTCGCGGCCTCTCGGCCCCGTGGCGCCTGCCCGGCCCCTGTCGCAGCTGCCCGGCCCCTGTCGTACCTGCCCGGCCCCGTCACGCCCGCCCGGCCCCGTCGCCCCCGCCCGGCCCTGCTGTGTCCTGCCCGGCCCCGTCGCTGCCGCCCGGCCTTGTCGCTGCCGCCCGGCCCCGTCGCAGCCGCCCGGCCCCGTCGCAGCCGCCCGGCCTCGTCGCTGCCGCCCGGCCCCGTCGCAGCCGCCCGGCCCCTCGTCGCGCCTGCCCGGCCCCGTCGCGCCTGCCCGGCCTCGTCGTGCCTGCCCGGCCCCGTCGCGCCTGCCCGGCCCCGTCGCGCCTGCCCGGTCCCGTCGCGCCTGCCCCGGCCCTCCATACTTCCTGGTACTGTCCCCCGTTCCCCGCACCACTTTGCACCCTCCTGCACTTTCCTGCCCCGCCTTGCACCGCATTGCACCTCACTGGACCGCACTGACCGCACTGCACCGCACTGGACCGCACTGCACCGCACTGCATCGCCCTGCACCGCACTGGACCGCACTGCACCGCACTGCATCGCACTGCACCGCACTGCACCGCTCTGCACCACACTGCACAGCACTACACCGCACTCCACTGTCCTCCACTGCCCCTCATGGCTGCTGAGCTTCGTTTTGATGCTGAGGGTCAGCCTCTGGAGTTCGAGGCGTGGTTGGCTGACCTTCGCCGCCACCTCACTGGTCAGCGTCAGGACGGCCACCCGCTTTCTGCACACCTAGACGGTATGCTCCCCTGCCCTGACCCCCCTGCTGTGCTGCCCGCTGATCCCACGCCCGCTGAGCGCGAGTCCACTGCCGCCGCTGCCCTTGCCCGCTCTGTCTGGCTTTCCCGCGATGCCCTTGCTCAGCTCGCCATTAGCAATGCCCTCCCCCCCCCTGAGCGCCCTCGCTTTAGAACCATTACTACCGCCCAGGCCTACCTCGATGCTGTCATCAAGCGCTATTCTACCCCTCCTGCTGCCTCAGTGGGTCGCCTGATCCTCCCCCTGCTCTTTCCTGACCTGGCGTCTTTCCCCACTGTCTCTGACCTCGCTGCCCACCTGCGCTCGATAGATGAGGCCTGGCGCGCTGCCTGCACTGATGCACAGCTTAGAGTCCACCAGCCTCCCATGACCTCTACCCTCTACCTCCTTGCCACCCGCCTCCCTGACCGCCTTGCCGCCGCCCGCGACCAGTTCCTTAGCATCCACCCTGCTGCTCTCACCCTCACCGACGTTGTTGACACCCTGACTGCCATAGAGACTCGTCACCGCTCCATAGCCCAGGCGAGCGGTACAGTACCGGTCCCTATCTTTCAGGGTTGTGCCCCCGCTCAGTGTACCTTCTCCGACGGCTCTGTCGCTGTGGCTGAGACTGCTGTTGCAGTGCAGTCCCGCTCGGCGAAGGGCCGCCGCCCCAAGGTTGGGAGCGGCGGAGGCGGCGGGGGTGCGGGTGGGGGTAGTGGTGGAGGCGGGTCGTCCGGTGCCGGTGCGGACGTGGGGACCCTGCCCGGTCCAGCTGCCCCGCTGCCTCCACCGTTGCAGCAGCAGCAGCAGCAGCAGTTGCCGCAGCCGCAGCCTCCGCAGCAGCCGCAGCAGCCGCCGCAGACGAGGCCGGCGAGTGCTCTCCCGCCTGGGTGGCCTGGAGCTGGTGGTGGTCGTGCGCGTGGTGGTGCACCGGGTGGTGGTTCTGGAGGCGGGCCCTGTCAGTACCAGATCCAGACTGGTCCTCGCCGCAGCTTCGTTTGCGGTAAGATCGGTCATTCCACTCCTCGCTGTTTTCGTCGTCTGGACGACCTGTTCCGCCAGCGCTTTGGCCCGGCGCCCGACCTCCCAGACTGGCACAGCTTGCTTAGGCGTAGCATTCGGATTTTTGACTTGGACATGGATGCCATTGTAGCAGCCTTGCATGTGATGTATGCCGATGACTCTAGTGTGCTTCCCTCTTATTACCCCGTGTTGCCTAGCGTAGACTCCCCTGCTGCGTCAGGCGTAGGATCTCCTGCTTTGCTTAGCCTCGGTGCTTCCACCGCTTCACTGTCGCCCAGCGCGACGGCTGCGCTTTCCTTCACCTTGGACTCTGGCGCCTCCCGGTGTTTCTTCCGCGACTCCACGACGCTGACGCCGCTGCCTGTTCCCGCTGCAGTTACTCTTGCTGACCCCTCCGGTGGTCCCGTCGTTGCCCGCAGTTCCACCTCCCTTCCCTGTCCGGCGGTTCCTTCAGGTTCGCTCACCGGTCTGCATATCCCCTCGTTCTCCAGGAACCTAGTTGGTGTCGGCTGCCTCCAGGACCTTGGCGTCACCACTACGTTCCCTGGTCACGAGCGGTATGCTGTCTGTACCGAAGCCGCCACTGGTGCCCCCCTTACCACTTTCCCCCGGGACCCGGTGTCCGGCCTGTTCACACTTGACACCGCGACGTCCCCGGCTGGGTCTTCCCCCCAGGTAGCTGCGTCCACCCAGGTTGCTGCTGCGTGCTCCTGTCGGTCCCTCACTCATCCGACTCTCCTTTGGCACCACCGCCTTGGTCACCCTGCACTCCCGCGTCTGCGTCACATGTCCCAGCACGGTCTCGTCCTTGGTCTCCCCGGTTCGTTCCCTGAGTTTCCCTCCTCCCCCGCCCCACCGTGCACGCCTTGTGTCGAGGGCCGGCTCCGCCGTGCCCCTCACTCCTCCTCTTTTCCCCCTACCACCGCACCCCTGCAGACTCTGCACATGGACGTCTGGGGCCCAGCCCCGGTCCATGGGCCGCGTCGCGAGCGCTTCTTCCTAGTGCTTGTCGACGACTTCACACGTTACACCACCGTCTTTCCCCTGGAGCGGAAGGCCGACGTGCCTGACGTTCTCATCCCCTGGCTTGTCTCTGCTCGTCTCCACCGCGGTCTCCCTGCCTTGCGCCTCCACTCCGACCGGGGTGGCGAGTTCGCCTCAGGTGTCCTTGGTCGCTTCTGTCGTGCGGAGGGCATCACCCAGACGTTTACCCTGCCGGACTCCCCGCAGCAGAATGGGGTCGCTGAGCGACGCATCGGTTTGGTCATGGAGGTGGCTCGCACCTCCATGATCCACGCCGGTGCACCCCATTTTCTGTGGCCGTTCGCCGTGCGCTACGCCGCTCACCAGCTTAACCTGTGGCCGCACCCCCAGCGGCCGCAGGTTTCGCCGACCCTTCTGTGGACCGGGTCCCCTGGTGACGCGTCTGCGTTCCACGTCTGGGGCTGCCTTGCTCACGTTCGTGCCTCTGGCACGGACAAGCTCACTGCCCGCACCCTCCCCTGCGTCTTCCTCGGTTTCCCCCTTGACGCGTCCGACTGGCACTTCTACCACCCGCCGTCTCACCGTTTCTTTCACTCTCGCGACGTCACCTTTGACGAGTCCGTCTCCTTCTACCGCCGCTATCCCCACCGTGGTCCCCCGGTTACTCCCCCCCTGTTCCTGGTTCCTCCCTCCCTGGTGGCCCCTGCCCCTCCCCCCCCCCGCCCCCCCGTCCGGCCCCCTCTGGTGTGTCTCACGTCACCCCCCTCCCGTCGGTCGTTCCGGTCGACGAGTCTTCTGACTCTGGTAGTCCTTTGGCGCAGTCCTCGCCGTCTGTCCCTCCCCCGGTGTCTCCTCCTCCACCGCCTCCGCAGCCG